ATTAGAGAAGAATATGCTGAAATTTCCACTTTGAAAATCCTATTTCCTCTTCCCAACCCAGAAAAAGGGCCGTGCTCTCTTACGCCAATGTACCAATAAAGATTCAGACGGGGTTTTGTCCTTGACAGCATCTAGAGAGCAGTCGATGGCAGGTATTTAAAGGGGGTTGGGGGTGGGGGCAACAGTGGGGGGTGGGTAGTATTTTTCTAAAATACTAATTTAAAGAACAAATCAACATCTATTATCTCCTTCATTATGTTTTAAATTGTACCACTATAAATCACCCTGCAGCAGGTTATTCAAGGGCAGAATTACCAGGCTTGGCTTTCCCGAAGGTTAGAAGAATGACATCTTGTGCTTTTTCTAGTTGTAATTTATAACTTTGCAACAGAGCCGGCGTTGCAGGCCCAACCATTAGCAGGATAGCTGCACATCTGGGGAAACTCAGCACAATGACTGGCTTTACACGGCCACAGGAAATGTAACCCGATCGTTTCAGAAGTTCTACAAACTCAAGCCATTTTTTAATGTAAAATGATTTGGAAATGCAGTTCCCTAAAACATCTGCTAAGCTCTTGTTACCCTAACACATGATATTCTTTCTACTGTTACCTTCCAACACAAACATGTGGTTGCGTAAAACACCCTACGGGGCACGTGATGGTGCCCGGCTTCAAGTCCACATACTGATCGCAAAGGGCTGCCTGGGCCTGGGACCCTGAGCTCAGACGTTGTTTAGCAGGACTGAGAGCTTACGCAGGGGCAGAAAACAAGGGAGAGGGTTGATTTCATGAAGGCGCTTTCAAACATTGTCAAAAGGGAACACAACAGCCCAACTACACAAAATGTGGCGGGGGTGCCGCGGTACACTTGACAAAGAAAATGAACTTGGCTGAGTGGCTGGTGGAGGGTCTGCAGACTGGTATTTCATTTTCTTGAACACATTGTGTGAGCTCCTTGTGCTTGTTAACTACAAAATGAAGGGAGTGACTGTAACATTGCAAAACTGTTGTAAGCAATAAAGGAAGACGCGTGCACGTACAGATACATAAAGCAACATCGTGTCTGGCTCTACATGTCAAGCTGCATCTTACTTGGATGTCTGGCAACATTTGCAAATAGTCAAAACTACCCTGGAAAAATCTCTTGTATTACCAGATAATACAATATGCCTGTTTTTGAGAATTAAGCCCCAGAGGGCAAATACATACATATGAATATACGATATATACTAACATACAATATATAGTGATGAATACATATGCAAAAAGTAATTTTAGAATATTCAAATAAAAAGACAAAATAAGCAGATAACGCACATATGATGGATGTGATTTCAGAACTAGAAAGCTTCTAGCAAAGTTTACTTTCCTTCAAGACATTACAAAAGCAGCTAAGAAATCCCGCATATTTTTAAAACAATATTTTTAGACAATCCTATTCCAAGGTTTAACTATTATTTTTATCTGATTATAAACTGGAAGGAAGAGGGAAAAATGCTTTTCCCCAGAACCTCCGTAGACCTGTCCTGACCCCTGGACCCCGAGGGAGAAGGGTCAGAGACATGGCTCTACCAGTAGGGGTCGCTGTGTTGAGAATTAATCCCTATGAGTTTCTCATTAGTGATTATTATACTGCAGGCGGCCAAAATGGAAAAATTAATTAATTTCAAAGTGATAATGCATTTACAGCAACAATTAGAAATGTATAACTGTAAAAGGGCAACATTTAAAAGACAGATTACATTTAATAAAGTTGCACAAGAACATCCAATTGTAAAATTACTGATCTGCAACAATATCCTTTAAAGAGGCACTTAAAATAGCCTGACTCCATGAAGGGTGACCTAATTACTGTAACTAAAATCACCGTAGTCACAGCAAGTCACAGCAAATAAAAAAGGGATGATGATATTAGAATACTGCTGTTTAATACTTAAGGGAGCCGGCTGCAGCAGAGAGGGAAGGCAGGGCTTCCGAGCACAAGGCTGGGCTGTGTTTCTTGTTTCCTTGACCTTGTGCGTGGAATTTATGCTCCAGCAACCCTCATGTCAAAAGGAAAACACTTCCTCTGAAGTGAAAGGCAGAAGGGATGAAGAAGGACAAGCAGTACACTAGTTATCCAGTCACACAGCGTCAACACCAAGGTTCTTCATGAGCATTCAGGATCTGACTTTTACGTGGGCTGGGAATGGAGATGCAACTGACATGGCTTAGGTCGAAAAATATGTTTGTATTAAAATGGCGTAAGCACGCCCTTCATCCACAAAACGTTTCACGGTGATGGAAGCAACGTCAAGCCCCGTACACGAGAATCCAACACCACGTACTCTTTTGGTCAATCCAGTCTGTCCCACCAGTGAAATCGACCAATCCCAGGTCTCTACTCGCGCTGTGTCCTCTCCCACATGCAGTCCCCCGTTCCTATGAGAGAAGCTACTGGCTATGAGTTTGACAAGCCCAGAGTTCCCACTCCACCTCTTACTGAACTTTAGTCACACAGAGCTCTCATGTCTAAGAAACACCACCAAATACGTAAGTAAAGATACGACAGATGTTGTATCCATTATTGTCAAGCCTTACACCGACCTGTACTGCCATTTGGTTGTGAGTAACCAGCTCAGGAAGGTGAAGCGTCCTGCCCAAGCTGTCCCAGTTCTCAGGGCTTGAACACTAGGATCATAAACAGGGGAGATGGTCGGTCCACTGTCCCAAGCAGTTGCTTTCGCACAATTGCCACCACCAGGAAGTCACGTCAAATTCCTTTTCTAACACAGGGTAAAGGCTTCTCTCCCCTGCCTTTTCATGGAACACTCCATCACTCCTGAAAACTTAGTCAAACCTGGTTTTTCTGTGATGTCTCCACTTTCCTCCAAATTTTCTCAAGGGCAATCTTCTCATTTTTGCCCACCCCTCTGACCCACAGACAGAGAGACCAGTTTTTATTTTATCTATTGCCCAAGACTACTCCCAGCAGGCATGTTCCTGACTGGAGCACTGGGATCAGGGCAGGGGGGCGGCCAAGGCCTCTGTTCACTGGCTGGGGAGGGGAAGGAATAAGCCATTGAGGCTGGACACTGGGTATACCTGGGATGAGCTCTGAGTGTGGTGGTCACTGGGCGCCACCACCTAGCTTCCTGCGATTCCCGGCTCTATGATGACACTTCGATCTCAGGCTCCAGCTGCATACTCTGGATTTCCACTTGGCTCAAGTCCTGATCATAGTTACCACCCAAACAGCAAAATTCTGTCATCACAACATGGTTCCCCACCTAACTTAATAGCTTGGCACTTTCAGAACTCTTCCTGTAAGTCTGATGCGCAGTCAAACCTGACTCTGCTGAACACATGTCTGTATTATGTTCATATTAAGTATGAGACATTGACCATCCCCTCCCCAAGAAACAAAAACATTCACCCCACCTCTGACTTCCCCAGAGCCAGTCTTCCTCCTCCTCCCACCCGTCCTTACCCAGAGCCCTTAAGCCCTGGGCTCCCGTCACAGAGTAACAGGTGCTATCACTTTCCATCCACAAGCCCTCACCCACTGGGGTCCTCACCAGACAGAAGGCGGTTACACCACTCTGCACCTGGAGCCTGTACTCAGAGACCCACCTCTAGGTTTTTCCCATCACTTTCTCCAATTAGAGAAATCCTGGAAGAAGGGGAAACAAGACTCTCTGATGTCACAAAAAGGAGTTCCTCAGCTCCTACTCAAGATCAAGTACAAGTGAGAAAATTCAAAACTCGGATTACAAACTTGTGGGTCTGGAAGGTGCAGGGCCAGTAGAAAAAGGGACACGATGTTCCCCACTCCTCAACCCCCATCCTAAACTTGAACAGCTCATCTCTGGTCCTGTCAATGGAACTGGCGCCAGTTCAGATCCACCACCTTCCTGATTCTCTACACTGAAGGACTTAACAGAGAAGGAGCCGCAATCACGGTCAAGGATGCCCCCGTGGAGAACCTGCCCTCACGGTCATGGGGAGCCAGGCGACGAGAAGTCTCAGAAGCCTGTGATGCGCACACTCTCTCATTGTCCATTCTCCCTGGACTTGGAGAACCGCCCTCCAGAGATGCTCCCACTTCTCTGATGTTTAAGAATTTAACTCTTAGATTACGTCTACTTACTTCGCATGAGAACTACCTGGGTGATGAGATAAATGACGCACGGACTTACCTTCTCCCAAGCAGTTCGAAAGATTTCTGCTGCGAGTTTAAAAGTCATCCACAAACACAAAGGTTAAGGACAGTGGGTGGGAACGGCTGCAGGAGGAGGCAGCAGACTGTATCCAGAGGCTCCGGGATCATGTGCCCAGAACATTCCAGGATAATGATTTGACTTGTGATACTCCTAAAAGCCATGATATCTTCGAGGGAAGGGTAATTTCTGAGCATTACATGTTAAATTTAGTTTACTGGGACACTAGTGTCCACTAAATACAAAAATATTTTTTAAAGGCCTGTGTTTTTAAAAAGTCCTATACCAAATGCACTGTGTAAAGCGTGCATTCTTCAAATTACTTCCTACTCAAACGCTTTCATGGAAGAAGTTTCTAAACATGGTTGTTATACGACCACCCAAAATGAAAAACCTTCATATTTATCTTTGTGAACATTTCCAAATCCAGCCACAGTGTGACTCATCACCTTTGGGGAAGGAAAGACTAAAACACCCCTCTAGCCAACAAAGGATTCTCCAGGAGAGGTTCACACCCCTTAAAAGAAGAATTTAGAACATCAGATACAGATTCTCAGTGGAAACAAACGAATCACACTGCTGATAATTCAATAGTCACAAATCCATGTTTTCAATAACACAAATCACAGTTGTGAAGTCCTGTGCATACTGAGAAAAAAATCGCATCAAAAGAAAACAAATCATCTCCATCAAGACTTTCACCCATACTTATTAACAACACATGTGCCTGGCTTCCTCGAGGACCCTTCCCATAAAGGCACAAGAGAAGTGTGTGTGGTGACGACAGCCGTCCACTTACCATGGACTTGGTGAAGGGTCTGGCCAGGGTGAAGAGCAGCGTGTACACCCACCAGCTGCGATGGATGGAGGAGTACATCACGTTTCCAGGGTGCACCGCGTTTGATGTGACCCCGCGTGGGGAGAGGCGGCGATGGAGCTCATTGGAGAAGAGGATGTTGCAGAGTTTGGACCGGTTGTAAGCCAGCATGGCCCAGTAGTCGTTTTTCGATGGAGAGAGGCGGCTGAAGTCTAGTTTCCCCGAGGAGTCGTTAATATCGGTAAATCTAAAAACAAAATTAGAAAATATAATATGAAGCAGCCAATCTCTAATGTCTGATATAGCTTTTTATTTTTATTAGAAATCTGAGTAAACCGTGTGGAGATGACTGAAAACTCAATTGGGCAAACATCGGAACAAAGTCTCCTTAAAAACAGACAATGTAACAACATAAACCACCTGGATCCAGACACACTCACTGAAGGCCCAAACCCGTCAGTGCAGAGGTCTCAACGTGCTGAGCCCCACTGCACCACCCCTGCCTCTAACATATATTTTTCAAAACCTTCCACAGGAAGTTCAAGGATAATTAAATTAAACGGGAAAATATCTTAAATAAAGGGCTGCTGCTCTTGGAAGCAGAAAGAGATCGCATTCCTAACCTTTGACGGGGCTTTCCTGGGTTATCTGAGCCAACGTGCGTGTCTTGTATATTTCATTTGCGCAACCAAGTAAATATAGATGAGTCTTGCTGCCTCCATGACTCTTTTCCAGATTAAAAATTCATGATTATAAAGGGGTTATAACCTTGGTGAGGTGCCATCAATAGTCTTATACGTTTAAAAGATAAATGTAAACAAAGCCAAAATGAGTTCTGGCAGAGTCTAATGTTTTTAAGTATACCCACGGCATGGATACACACAAATCAAAGTAAGTAGTTGATGTTTTATAATTGGGTCTGACGGAGTCGTTAAACACCAGCTGTTTGTTTCTTTCCTTTTTTTTCTTTCTTCTTTTTTTTTTAAATAACAGCAAAGTAGTGACTTCCTTCACACACACACACACACACACACACACACAAAGGATCATACAGAAGGAATTCTCCAGATGAAGGTCTCATCTTTGTTAAGGACCCCTCATAATTTGATTAACTCTGGGCATGTGCCCTGAGCGGTAAGGGCATGCTGGAGTAACTGGTGTGGAAAAGGAAAGCAAAAGGCAAAATGAAAATTATGGAATAACCTGGTTGTTTCTTAAGACGAGCAGTTCAGGTGGAACTTGGACCAAGCAAAGCATCCCAGGGACAGAGGAAACTCAAGTTCTAATGGAAATTGAATATCCTTTCCTCAGGACTCAGGCAGCAACATCCAATTTCTAGTGTTAAGTTACATCACTGATCTAAAGTCATCAACAAAGCTGATGGCCAGAAATGTCAGTGTGGATTCGGCAATGAGACCTTGCAGCTAATCACTGGCTGCCTGTTTTCCAGTCTCCAGACCCCAGGAAGAGCCCAGGCTCTAAGTTCTATCGTCTAAAGCAGTGGAACTTAGCGGGAAATGTGAAAATTTATGGGGCCCCTTTCCTGGGTGTCGTAATGACTGCTGGTGGGGGCTGGGACAGGAGACGCCCTGCAACGCAGGCGGAGTCTTGCTCGAGGAAGACTGCCCTGCTTGGCATCCGCGTCGATGAAGAGCCTGTGTACCATTATCTGAGCCTAGAGCCTAGCTGTGTTTTACGTATAAGCACAGTTCTAATAGCCACTGAATTTCCAGGAGCAGAAACAGCCACGTAAATGAAGAATGAGTGCATTTTCCGATTTTGTGGGGTTTTAGGGGGAGGCGAGGTTGGAGTGGATGCTCGTGGTACTCGAGTGTGCAATGCCACACACCTGCCAATGGAGGCGGCTAATGCACAGACATGCACTCTGATTACTTACGTCTCCTGTAGTCCTGTCCAAGCACTGACATGTTGGAACACAGGCCACTTGCTTCACATTTGTTTTTCCCCTACATTACAGTCACACTAGCTCACTGAATTACAACTTATGCATGCAGGTAAGTTATACTACTTCTGAACTGCATTTCAACATAGTAATAAGGTGTCACAGAGGAGCTGTTCCAAAAAACAGGGACTGGAGAGTGGAGAACGCAATGATCTAAGGTCTGAGCTACATCTTAGAAGTTCCACCTACTCTGAGTAGAAAAGAGCATCAAGGATTCGGACATCTAACAGGAAAGGGATTGATACAGCATCCTTCACTCACTCTCCACTCTTCTTTCATCACCTTTCTTGGCATCTCTGTTTAGCCTACTCCAGCTCAGGTGTCACTTCTTCCAAGAAGCTCTCCCTAACTAACTCTGCCACTGCATGTGGTCACAATGATTTCTTGGGTGGCAGTGGGGGCTGGACTGAAAGAAGTGATGCAAAACAGATGGAAACACATGTTTCCATGGAAATTAAGCATGCACCTTCCAGGACCCGGTCCACGGTATCCCCAGTGTGCAAGGACCCTGCCACCCCTGCAACATCAGGAACAAAGCAAGTCATGCCATCTTTGTACCTTGTGCTTCTGTCCTCACCACACAGACTGAGTCATTTGTTTACTTGCTTGCAACCCTAGACTGAATTTTTGGGAGGTGGACAGTGAGCTCCTTGTTTATTGCCTAGGACACTGCCTGATACACACTGGGGACTAAATACAGGATTAGAGGATTGAAGTTTGATCCTGGATGCAAAATTCCAAACCAAGAGCTAA